CGTTACGGACCCTCTCGACACTCCAGTGCTTCGTCTGGACTGCTAGACCGACTCTACACAAGTGCAACAGCACCATGCGACGCTTCAATATCTCTAGGACGTAACCTCTTATTGAAGTATCAACTACCACATCTGCGACATAAATATAACCAATAGCATCGCCCGCATTGCACCAACGAGCGCTTAGAAAAGGTCAATTTCATCTTTGGAGGGTGCATCACTAGCACCTTTTGCTCATCCTTTATCTCGGTACAGCATGCAATCAGCAGAAGACGCTCTGGACTTCCTTTCGGAGAGTCAGAAACGCGGTGTCGCAGGTTTATGTGCTTGTCTTCTACCTGCTGTCTCCGATGGCTCGATTGACATATTATGGTCGCGAACGTACCTGAAGCTACTGGTGGAGCATTTTTTGAGGCTTTCTAGTAGCCAAACCGAGGCCTATTTACCCATTTTAATGTCGAGACAGTTGCAATTGGCTGAAAAGATGCACATACCGTCACGTGGTGCATCTCCTTTCGTAGACGACTTTGACCCCGCCCCTTTTCTGGCTCAAGTGATGCCTAAAAATGCCTCAGACACGACTCGATGTTCTCGAGCGTGGACGAAACTGACGACGCCCAAAAAAGACCAATCAGAAGCAAGGAAGCAATTGAACAATTCGGTTACAAGTGACGCACTGGACGAGTCCCACGTGCGCTTCTTTCGACTTCAAGTAATCAAGAGGCTGCTGGGGGTTACGATCAAGAGCGTGGGTTACGATGCTCGGGCCAGAACATTGATGAGGAGACTCGTGCTGGCAATGGACTTGCAGTGGGCAGACGTGACCCAGGAAGAGGAGAAGATTGGCCAGACGTTGTACGCAGAAGCTACTGCCACGCTGCTGGTTAAGAAAGAAGGAACAAAACCAAAAGGTTGGGACTGGAAACGCCATGCGGCAATTGGTGCAGCATCTGTGACTGGTGGCGCTTTACTTGCAGTGACAGGAGGTCTTGCTGCTCCTGCGATCGCGGCAAGTTTGACAGCGCTGGGAGGAGCAGGCGTGACGATCGGCGCTGTTGTGGGGTCTGCAACCGGCGTCACAGCAACGACAGTGCTCTTTGGGACAGCTGGAGCGGGAGTGATGGGTATGAAGACTGAGAAAAGGACGAAAAGCGTTCATGATGTTGGCTTCGATCTCGTGTCGGCAGGGCATGGCATGAACGTCTACATTTGCGTGTCGGGGTGGCTGGACGAAGATGACCCGCCGACAAACGGATTCCGTCGAGCGTGGGGGATGCTAGCGAGGGCTTGAGTGCGTCGTGTGTTCAAAGAAAGCCAAAGCAGGTGGATCAGGTGGATCGAGTCGTGGGCCAGTGTCGAGGTCGAGAAGACGAGGTGCTTGCTGAGACGAGTGATCCATGTCATGCTTCATGTTTGTCGAGGACAGTACACACAGACACCGACGCGCGTGGTGGTAACTTAGCGAACCACATCAGCGACCCAAAAGCTTGTTCTCCTAGTTTGAAGAGCACAGCAGCAAGCAACGCTAGTCCATCTGCGTGGGAGCGAGGAACAAAGCTCAATCCGCTTCAAGCATGGCGATGGAACGACCGTTTCCCTCATGGTGACCAGTATTGCCTTGTTTGGGAGGAAGCAGGACTACGTCGGTTTGATAGATGCATGCGTACATTTGCAGCTGAGCAAGTTTCAGTATATGCGACGACAGAGATTGTCAAATACACTGCGCTGGCAGCATTGTTTGCAGCCGTGGCGATTCCACGGGCGATATTTCGACTGGCCGACATCATTGACAACGCTTGGACAGTAATTATGAACGCTGCAGACAGCTCTGGTAAATTGCTAGCGGATGCGCTGCGTAAGCGAAACAAAGGCTTGCGTCCGGTCACGTTGATTGGGTACGGGATGGGGGCCAGATTGATTTTCTCCTGCTTGAAAGAACTGGCAAATGAAGATATGGTCGACGAATCGTGTGGGATTGTAGAGAACGCTGTATTGCTCGGATCGCCTCTTCATATGGCACGCAACGAATGGATGAGCGCTTGTCGCGTAGTCTCCGGGAGGCTAATTAATGGGTATTCAGATAATGATTGGATGCTTGGTGTGATGTATCGCTACCAGGGGTGGGCTCTGAACTCGGCGGGCATTGCGCCTCTCGATATCGCTGGTATCGAAAATGTGAATTTATCAGAGATCATTGGAGGACATCTGGAGTACAAGAGCAAAATTGGCGTCATACTGGATCTGCTGAAGCTGGAAGACTGAGTGGCAGCCACGAAGCCAACAGCTGCGATGCTCTGGGTGTTGCTACAGGATTGTCTAGACGACGTATGTACCGCATTTCTGGTTGCGACGAAAGTCTTGATGCATGTGATATACGTTATATTGCCAACATGCTGGTGTACGTGTGGGAGCGGACGCGGGCTCACCTTTCCATCGTTGTTTCCATTTGCGGGCACCAAGACATAGTTGCTGCAGGATTCCAGTAGTGCACCGTACTATCTCGCATCGTGTGAGTGTCATTTAGCAGACGTAGTGCTGCTTTTGCAAGCGCCTCGTATATTTGATACCATCGACGCCACTTGCGGGCTCACATCAATTGCGACACCAGCGTTCGGTCAACCTAAAACATCACAAGTTGGTCTTCTTCAACGTAACAGTGACGTATCTGTGTCCAGTTCGGAAGTCGTACAAGTTGAGAAACGATCGTCACTTCTTGGTCGGATCCACAAAGGTTGAAGCTCGCATCCATTGTACGTAAGCGTTGGCATATCACGTTTGCTTCTAGCAATCCATCCGGGAGATATGTCGAAACTCAGAAGGCTGACCATGAAACCTGTGATTATTAGTAGCTACGGCAGGTTTGTCGAAGACTCCGTCTTGCTGGCAGCTCAGACGGTTGGATAAATGACAACTTTACGTGTGGCTTTTCCTCACTTTGTAAGACATACCAGCTGGTAAGAAGACAAACGAAAATGGGGTGAGCTACTAGCCTGTACGATAATGTCCCCATGGAAAGTAGCTGACACACGATTGTACAAGCTTTGAAGCAGGCTTCTTTGACGACAGCAAAGCCGAACGGATTCGACCATGCTCCGTTTGTGCCCCAGAAAAAGAATGCACAAGGGCAAGCAGACCATACAAACAAGAGTGATTAAACCAAGTGTCATATCCAACCTAGCTCATGAGCCGTACATCAAAGTGTTGATGTCGGTCTCGTGGAAATGATCAAACGTGCAAGCATGGACGCCGTACAGAAAGTTGTCTCCAGCAACGAAGTGACATCCAAGTGAACCGAGCTGCAGCACGGTTGAACACACTTTCACTTTTCATCATCTTGTCATCGAGGCTGCGGTCATTTTTTGGTGCAAAGTGTTTGCTTGTGCTGCTTGTACAGTGATCATCATATTGTCTGCAGTCTCGTGCGTAGACCCAACTACGAAGCGAAGTGCAAGCTCGACGTGAATGAAGACAGAGTGAACGGAAATCCATTTGATTGGGCAGGCGGCAATCACAACGTCGCCCTTGACGGGACACAAGGGACCGGCAGCGAACGGGCGAGGCCACTGCAGACGAGTAGCACTTCTTTTCTTGGATGATAGCTGTAATCGTACCTGGCTGAAGCAGCCAGATGGAGCTACTCCATTACGTTATTTTCGAATTTGTACTGGTCGGGAGAACCATGCTAACGACGTTGTCGACTGGGCTACTTAAGAATGAGACCACGCTTCCGTGTGGTGTCAAAAGTCGACAAACACTGGAATAGATACGCTAGCCATCTTCGTTTTGCGAACCACTGACGGTATTTGAGTTGATCGCTGGAGAAATTTATGAAGAAACCGTACATCACGTCAACAACATTTGTAGCGAGTTTACGTGTCGCTTGCTTATGCAGACACACGCACCTGAGAACACACCTCGTGTTGCTATGACTGCTTCTGTTAGTCTTCACAGCTGAATAAGCCACATATGATGACTCCTGCAAATTAGATTAGACATGCTGAAAAAGTGTGTATTGATTGCCACTATCAATGAAGGCAGCTAAGTCCCCGGGGGCCTCAGCGAAAGAACCAACGACAACCCTGGATCATCCTCGGGTACGTCGTTCGTCAAAGGCGACGGCTTCTTGCGCACGCGACCCGTATCCAGATTTTCTGCCTTCCGTTTCACGACCGACTCTGTCCTCAACAGTATGGATGGCTCGTTATGCTCCTCCGATGCGATGCTGGGGACTCCAGACCTGCCATCTTGATGTGACGTGCCAGGATGAGCATTGGCCTGCCCGTTCGTATCCTTCCCCTTTGCGATGTTCGACTCGAAATAGTTATCGACACCAAAATAGACGTCAAGATGCTCCAGCGTTTTTATCAGTGCAATTGGCTGGTCACCTTTTATCTTCTCTTTTAGAGCAACGAACTCGACCAAAGTATCCATGGTTTCGTACGTCAAGCCTCTCGTCTCAAATTGGAGAAGTTTAATCACATCAGAGATTTCTTTTTTTTCGCTTGTACTCCAGTAACGTAGAAGCATTTGCTGGAACGACACCGCATCCTTTCTAATGGCCGGAGATAGCTTTGCGATCGACAAAAAGTCTGTGAATTTGGGAACATTAGTACAGGAGTCTAAAAGCGTCTGGATCGTCTTAGTCTCATCTCCATCAAAGTATTCGCTCAAGGCCCGCATCTTTTTGAAATTTATACGCGAGACAAATTTTTTTTCTTGCAGCACCTTTGTAATTTCTTTAGCTTCAGGTTGGTTCTGTATCCATTTCACGATAACACCTTTGGTAACAGAAGGCCAACCTTTGGCAATTTCGTTCACCCGACTTGCGATATAGTTCACGTAAGCGCGCACCTCTGGCGTATCTGACATTAGCACTCGTAGTTCAGGTCGCACTTTTGCTGGCCAATGTGCTGCTTCCAGATGTGTCTTACTCTCCGCTATCATCCCGTTCCATACATCCCAAGCGGCTTGTGCCCTGTCCGCGCTCATCCCGGCAGCCTCTCGCACGATCGGAGCGATCTGTTGCTTGCCACTGATTTTAAGTAGCATGGACTCCAGAGGTTTTTCTTTTTGAACCACCTTTAGCAATTCTGGGATGACCTGTGAAGGTCCTGGATAAGTCCTCGCCTCATCCTTTGCGGCGTTCTGTCCAATCAGTGGCACGTTGCGAGAATCGTCGTCAGAGTCAGGAAAGAAGGGTGGAACACTGGCCGCAGAGTTGCCCTCCCCCTTCGAGGTGCCGGACACTCCCACGGAAACAGTGACGCCAGTCAGAACTGCTGCAGACGCAAGAAGAACGAAGGGGTGAAAACGCATCTTTTCTTGGGCAAAGGATCTTGAATGAGTTTTGGAATGAATGAACGTTTGGGTGGCTGTGCGTCACGAGAGCCAAGAGTCTCGTCGAGCACGATGATTGGCTGGAGTGGCACCTTCCGATCTCGCAGGTATTAAAAACGTAAATTTGATGGGCGAGACTAAATCGTGCTGTATTCTTACAATAGTGTACTACAAACGCGTCAAACAATCTAATGGACAGCTTACTAGCTTAGGAGTTAAGTTTTATCTGTGTTATGCCATACATATAAGCTCAGAGGTGCGGAGACTATAGAACTCCCTTGCTTCCTTTGACGGATTTTAACTTCCTGTATGTCACTGTAATGGGGCACCGTTTGCTTGGGGTGCCACGAAACTTCACGTACACTAGTACGTGTAGAGGAAGGTAGTCTACTTAATCTACTCGTACAAGCAACGGTGAAAATAGAACTGTATTTGATATAGTTGATCTGTAACGGGGTCACACAAGCCTTTTGAAACGGGGTAGCCCCATACATGAAATTGACACCAAACGGTGTCAATAGGAATATTGTCTAGCATGACAATATTCTACCAATATTATCCGAGGTGAATATTGTTGAAGGAATATTATACTCCTTAGATAATATTCATGCGCTGCTCGTAGATTGGTTGATATAAGACATATCAACCATAGATTGCCACAAATCGCTGCTAGACGCGCGCGATGAGTGGTGAGCAGGTTGACGTCATACGACAATGTGGGTCGATATAGTTAAATAAAGATTAAAGTTAGATTAATAGCTTAACTATATTAATTACAGTTCTATTTTTACCTTGGCCTAAACGAGTCGTTTAAGTAGATTAGCTTCCTCTGCACGTGCTAGTGCACGTGAAGTTTCGCGGCACCTCTAACAATAGATGCCCCGTTACACCTTTGGCTAAATTGGTCAAAGACCTTCCATGTATGATATGGATGAATGTGTGTGACCTTAGATT